CTTGGGAGAGACACACTGAATCCATGTGTGTGGCGCTTTCCCTGGAGTTGATCTGTCACAGAATCCGGGTGTGCATGTCTCCTTCCACTGCACTTGGCCCGAAGGGTTGTACCATGCATGGGTATCAATCTTTACATTGTAAAGTAGTAAAAAGCCGTGCAATTATCTACAACAAACCAGAGTCACTGTCTGCGATACTGCGGGGATACCATCGATAGTTTCACCCTTTCACACTGCCTTCAGAGCTACATAGAACGTCTGCCATGGACCTCAAAATCCCTCTTCTACTAATGGATCGCAACAGGAGCAGCCGAAAATGGGCTTACTGCAGTTCGTTCGCCACTAAGTGCACCACATATGGCTCGATCGTCCTTTGGTACCAACAGCTCAACCAGTTTATGCCGCTGTCAATTGGCCATCATTGGGAATGGGTAAGGTGATCTTCTGAAGAACAACAAATGAACGGCTGTGTAAGGTGAGCCTATTTGGAATCAATAAAGCCAGAACTCAAACGGATCAGACGTCCGTACTTGAGATTCTGTGCACTGCTCTGCCGCTTCGTTTGTCCCTGCTCGCCAGTCTCTGTAGCCGCTGTTCGAATTTCAATTCTACGAGCACATTTCACCCTCGTGACATGGAAAACCGAGGAAATTATCTTGCGTGTATTGTTCCGTGTTTTGACTTATGTAGCGATATGGGGCCCCAGCTGCATGAGCGGGAACCGTGGCTCGATATGGCAATCCTCCGAGCTCAGTACCACCTTTTCCTTGGCAACGCTGCTATTGTGTTTTGCCCACGTAAGGTGCACCGGGGCGGTGAAAGTACCTGGCCAGATCTGGCCATCAAACCCACAAATCTAGATTGATGCCGCGGGGTTTTCAGTAATATAATGATTTTACTCCTCATTTAGTTAATAGCGTTTGGCCCGATCGTCCTGCGATGTCGTCCATCGCCTGCACAAGCGATGGGCCACGTCGCAAGAAGACGTTTGGCCAAACGTGGGTCCCCTGGATTGACACTAGTTCTCGCCTCAGCGTGCTTTCTTTCGAAGGTGCTACACCACCCTACAAGAAAGAATCCAGTACGGGGTGCTGAAGTTGAGCGTAGTTAATGCCATAGAAATATGCCTTCATACAGGGGTAATTCTGGCTCACTCCCCCCACCAAAACTGCAAGGTAATTCCACTCCCCCACTTTAATCTCCTCCCAAACTGCATCTACCTCACTCACTGTGCGGATCTCACGCGCTGCGCACACCAACTCAAGATACCGTCCCACTCGCCCGACTGCAGCCCATGTTCTGCGCATTTTCACCACGACCTTCCGTCACCATCGTCCCTGGTCATCTCGGGTGCTGAACCTCCCCTTTCCATTCTCACTACTATCGCCGTTCCACTCACCAGTGTGGACCTGTCGGCCTTTGGCGTGCGGAAATTCTCCCACTGCCATCTTCCATCCTGCCATTTACTCCATCCAGCGCAGAAGGATTGCATGCAATTCGCAGCACAGTACTGTGAATTCACATGTGAATTTCCCCATTTCCACCTCCATGCAAAACGGCCTTCAAAGCCCCGCTGGCAAACGCACCTTCGACTGCTGTCCACTTCAATGTGCACTTGCTCGAGGGCACTCCAACAGCGCCACTCCTCACCAAGGGGACGAGACGCTGAACATGCAACAACGCGCTTTGCTTATGATTGTGGGGCTTATCTGTGAAACCACAAACCCAACGCAGCTTGCGGTGGCAAAGCCATCTAGTTGATGTTTTGTGCATCTTACAATCAGGTAGAAAATATTTTTGCGATGCCTATTGCAATGCTACTCAGCACTAACTGATGCCATCGTAGCTGCATTTATGCCATCGCAATCTCCGTGATAGCGCCACATAATGTCAGCATGGCATCGCAATCAGCACCTCTAAGATGTATTTTCTGCAAACGATTGCGACTCTGTCAGGACCCACCTTGTCGTCGATCACGTTGACTTGGTCAACATCATCAGAGTATCAGTTTACCGTCCATGCGGTCATGACGCTTGTAGGACTAGTCTTCTCTGGCGACATTGTAGACCCTCTAATTAGGGCAATGGAGAGTATTCCTGGGGGACACTATCCGCAGCAATTTCTCATGCCATCTTTGCACTCTTGTGTAGGGCGACTCTCAACTAGCTATGCCAGCGCCACAGACAATGCCCGCAATGTTCCGTCACGGTGAAATGTAGTGAACAATCGTGCGAGCTCTTACGAAAATGAGGTGAACGTCCACAACGTTTTGGGACAGCACAAAAGGGTTTGCAAAGGTGCGCTGCCCTCCTGTCCTCCTTGCTAATGGTAATGAACTCGATGGGTCCAAAACAGCCCTATTCTTGTGGTGCATCACGGCGCCATCGGAAGAGAATATGCCACTGCACTTTCACCATTCGCTGCACCTTGTCTGAACCTGTTGTCTGGTGGTGCCTACCAATTCCTTGATTTTTTAATGTAGATGTAGATGGGGTGTCCCTGCAGTGATTGAGGAAAACCAGTTCAAAAAGCCCTATTCAAGAGTGCGATTTATCATTGTCGTTTAGCTGACGACACCAAGGGATGGCGGAGTCGCGTACGAGTTTTTTCTGTCATGCACTCTTCCTCTGGGTTGCCAGCTTCTGTGCATCGCCATTCCAATATTGAACGCACTCAACTAGGCACATCGCGCGCTCACAAGCGACATATTTGACCGCGTACCCTTGAAAACCATGTAGACTACACGGTTCATAAGATTATACGTTTAAAAGTATGTCAATGTGAGTATTAGCTGTGAGGTATTGGGACCGCATTTGCCGAAATAACACAATTGGATTCTGAGCAGACCTGAGCAGGTCTGAGTAGACGTGCCCTGTTTTTTCCTAGTGTTTCATATTGACGTTTGGAACAGGGTTTTCGCTTGTATGCATTAAAATGCATAAATAGAGAACCAGTTGTTTTCGCAGCCATGTTAGCCTGTCTTTCACAGCTTAACGACATACCGTTTTACATGATAGTGTACCAATGGTCCCAATGGTCGACCCTCCGCACTCTTGAGCCCCACAATACAGTGTTCACCTTGCCCTTGGGAAGAGCGACGCCGCCGCCCAGCATAAGGTCGTTTTCGGCCCCTTCAGCGCGCTTGGTTGCCGCTCACGGACTCCCTGAACCTTGATATATTGCTTTTATGTACACAGGGCCATTTTCACACATATTTTTCATATATACTATCAAAAACGTAAGAACTATTTTCGCACATGCATACGCATAAATATGGGAGTGTTGGGGCCGTAAATGACAGCCCTGCTTTCACTAGTAGAAAACAGCCTGTTTGCGATGCCAACTGCGATGCCATTTTGACACAAATTGATGCCATCACAGCCCCTTTTACGCCATCGCACTCACTGTGACAGCATCAATTTGTGTCGAAAGGGCATCGCAGCTGGCATCGCAAACAAGCTGCTTTCTACGGAAATTTCTACAGAGTGTCTTGACGTTGAACGGTAATAACGTAGAAACTCGGCTTGCAGGTTTGTTGAAAACTCTCCTAAGAAAGAATCAGGATCCAATCCTCGCGGCCGTTCGATGTTTTGGGAAAGATGTGCGCACTTTTCTAAATCCAGGTGCTCATGTGCAGTGCTGCATAACTAGGGATTGCCAATACCGAGGATATGTGCACGGAGCCCGTGATGCAATATCTCGGATGCACATGCCCGTGGCCAAACTGCAGGTTATTCAGTCTCAGTGAGAATTGAAATGGATACGACCGTTGACCAGTGGTCCAAGTGGTCAAAAGCCGTGGTTGCTCGCTCGTGAAATGCGATTCGGCAGAGCGGGAGGCCAGCTTTAGGCATTCGCATCTGCAGCGAAAAGCACACTATTATTGATTCGTGAAGTATGTGATTTGGCAGGCGCACCGCACTCATCTGGCTCCCAGACAATCACGTGCTCGAGATGGTGGGATCGGAGGGGCGCGTGCAGCCCACCTGGGGATTGCGCCAAAGCTGCTGCTGCCGCCAGCGTGCGGCGAGTGGAAGGAAGGGCGGACCTCGCCCACGGTTGAATAAAAATAGTTGCGTTGCTTACATCGCTAGATATCCAAGCCTAGAAATGCAACGTAAATTGAAGCCATAATAATTGTGAACAGAGGGCTGTTGAGCACCGTGGCGTGAGACATGACTCCGTTGCATGCTTCCGTTTCGTTGCCTCGAGTAGGAGGCAAAGTGTGCGCCATATCACTGCCCTCAGCATCTTCATATATTTTCCACGTCTGCATGTGAAATTTCAAACGGTTGAATTGGGTTTGGGCTTTGATAAAATATGGAACTCCTCGCTATCCCGCCCGTTCTCATGCATTTGGGATTCACGCTTTTGGATTTTTTTGTAATGGCTTAATCTATTTCAGAGACACGGTCGTGCAAGAGGACTGTAGTTCTAAATGTCTAGAATGGGCAATCGCGCCTGCTCCACTCTCTCAGGCATATCCGTAACCTCGACCTTTGGCTTTAATGCTATTTACGTAATCCTACATTGTACATTTACAATCCTTTCTGGACCCATGCCCTCGTACAACCCATGAACGTGTACTTACTGCAGGTCCGGTGACCTGCATTCAGTGCCCATGCCGTTGCCAGTCTTGCATCTTCTTTCCAGATGCATCAGTTCCAAACCCTCGTCCGCACCTCAGATTATTAGTTGGCCTGACCCAAAGAGATGTCGAGCTCATTGCACGAAGTGCGTCAACAGGAACACTCTTCGATTTCTCATCAATTCACACACAAAACTTAAGACGAACAGGATAAAAACAGTTGCCCCTGCAATCCTGGTCTCTCTCAAAATTCTATGCTGTGTACATCTTCTTTAATGCAGTGATCGCGCGACTGGTAAGAAGCAGAATAGAGTGAGCACCAGCTGCTCACGCTTTCGAGGAGCACGCTGCCCGCCCAAGAATAAGATACTTGTTCTGCGTAGAGAGCTACATGAGATGCATTTCAGGCGCTTCAATTGGGGTTCTCCCAATTCTTGATGAAATTGGCAATCTCTGGATGGTCGTGCTTCTCCGCCAGAGTAGCTGCAGTATATCCATGGGGAACGCCCTCCTGTGGAATGAAAATGCATGTCATAGCACACCACGGGCATGCAAATCGTCGACATAATTGCCACCATTGTTGCTCTGTTACTTCCCAAAGTGACAGTGCCCGCCCGTGATAGAGATTGCTAGGTCACATGCGAGCGTCCACGCTGATTGATGATCTCCCCCAAAAAAAAAAAGGGCAGTTTTGTACAGAATTAAGCCGACTTTATTTCCTCCTACTTCCATTTTTTCTGAGCTTACATAGTAGTTCCATAAATTTCCTGTACAGTCATGTCACCAATCGCCGCTGCACCGCCAACTCGCTCACAAGAATTGAGACGTGTTTGCAAATTGAGCAGGCGACATTTGAGAGCCTGCAGCAAGGTTGCTGGTGAGGACACCTGAAAAGCTTGACCCAGCACTGGAACGAGCTTTAACTGACGTCACTCTCGTGATATTGCGTGGACAGATCTCTCACCGCCCAATTTTGCCCACCTTGTTTCTGATTGATGTGTCGGCGCCTTTCTCCAGGAGGAGCTTGACCACCGGCATCTGTCCCCATTTTGCGGCATGATGGAGAACCGTGTCACCATTCTGAGCAACACAAACCGCCGCCGTCCTTTTAATCCAAAGTTACAGAGGAACAGATAAGTTTCGCGACTGGCATGACCCCACAGCGTGTAATGGTCGACTGTTCTGATGCGCTTCCTTTCATTGCGCAGCAGAGAGTTGGTTTGCCGTGCTGAGTAAGACCAACTGCCAATTTATCGTAAGGGCAGCAGCAAAGAAAGGACGAACGGGGCAGCGTTTCTTCGACAGACCGAGTCCCATGGCTCCATGAGGTCATAGATTTGTTCGTTATTGTGGACGATGCACACAACCTAAACTACAATAAACAAGTATCTGAATGGCTAACGTACAAATCCAAATGGATGATAATTTTGGAAATCAACACGATGTTGGAAACATCGTGGCACAAATATGCCCAGGGCTTTCAGAGCTTCAGTATGTCTCTCATATGTAAAAGCACAACATGGTCGCTGCAAGGTCAGAGTGGTCAGTGAGCATCGGCGGCTGTTTAATCAGGTCACAATTCATCGATGTTGCTGTTCGTAGAGAACGCCAATTGTTCTTGCGGATATTGGTAACTGAAAGAGAATGATGTGCAGAGGCTGGCGATGTGGCGTGATAGGTCTGGCAGATGGCAGCATTTTGGCCATGCCGCTTTGAAAATGGAAGCGCCATTGCAGTGATGGCGATGCATCAACTAGTGTCAAATTGCAATCGGCATCGCTGAGCGGTGTTTCCAATGTTGCGACACATGACACAGAAATCTTGCTTACAGCTTCCCCATCCTGTTAGCATAGCAGCTCTGCTGGCACCAACATGTCACAGATATATACTGCGCAGCTGAGCAACGCTGTTCTCGGCAGCAGCATCTTGGCTGTTGCAATGATGTCCAACGTACATTAAGCAATTAGGCGATGACTGGCGCTGCAAGGAGGTTGGAGGCGTGGAGAGCCAAGTGGCGAATGAAATGTGGCAGCGCTGGGTATGCATCCACCAGAGGTGACGACCTTCTGGGGTGACGACCTTCTGAGGTGACGACCTGCATTGGTTGTAAGAATTGCCCGGCTATTCCTACAATTCACCATGAATGTGTCGCGTGGTTCTACAATCGAGGTCGCAGGGATGGCGATCCTCACAAGTTCACAGCACCAATCACGTTTTATGCCGAAATAGACAATACCCCCACCGCGTTTCGTGTTCGTTTTACTAGCATCAACGACCGTGCCCAGTACTTTAATCGTCACTCACGTGCCACCCAGTTGTCGTGCTTCCCAGATATTATGATGCGAATATTGTGTTCGCATTCAAATTTCTGCTTTGCAATCCCCTCCCAGCAAGCTTGACGGGCGTTGTTGTGCGTGACGCTGGATGTCCCTTTGTATTTCCAACCTGAGCTTTGCTTGACAAGCGTTGGTCATACAGGCGCACTGGGCAGCCAATTGAAGACTGAGCGCGCTTGCGAGCGACCCGTGTGCCTCATATTTATCTGGCACACTTTTGTGATTTGAAATGGAAGAGCGCGACGACAGGTACCGGTGCCGCCCTGCCTATGACACCCCCCAGCAAACCCAACAGCGACTTTCACGATGAAGTCAGTGACCCGCTGGTCATACCCACCAGAGACGCTCCCAAACGCATTTCGCGTGGGAGACTTGACAAAAATATTGGTTGTGGGATGATCCCGAATATTGATATCTCCTCAAAACTACCTGAGCTCCGTTCGATCCAAGCAAGATGGCTGGGCGGGGTAGACCCCTTTCGTGGTTCTGACCACAAGGAGTGTTTTCTCATCAGTTTTAAAGGCCTCCTGGACGGGAGCGAGGCGCATTGTGGAAGAGACATGCGACGGCTGCCCATAGCGAATCTTCACCAAAATTTCAGCGTGTGGTGTGCCTCTCGATTGACACGAGGGATTAGTCTTGGACTGACAGCAATTATCGGCATGGTTGGTCGACATATCAGCTCGTTACGAGCTGGCACGAGGCACAACCTGATCTCCTGACCCCGTCATTTCCCTAGCGCGCTTTTGGCTGCAAAGCTGCAACAAGGTTTCGTGGACAACGCGCTTCCCTTTGGCCAACTTGCAAACCCAGTGCAAACTGGCGACAGGTGGGCAGAAGGCACGCGCTGCCAGAGTACCCTCCGCCAGGGGCAAGGCATTCCATGTGGCCTAAAGCAGCCCTGCACGGATGTCCCAGAGCTGGCCTTCGTCGTCCTGCCACAACGGCTCACAGGGAACAAACGATTATTTGGAGAACGGTCTGCGCGGCGACGCTGCAGCTGTCCATGCACCGGGTATTTCATCATCTAACTTTTCGCACACACCTATTTTTGTGCATTTTCTTATGTGCAGCTTTTTCAAAATTCAGGCAATATCCTGCACGTCGAGACTGTTATGTTTCATATTAACATGTATGTTTACAGAGCCAGCTTTTCTTCGATGCCTGTGTACTGGACAGGTTCCTCCCACCTCGTCCACTAGGTCCAGCGGGGCACCGAAGTCCAGAAGCTTGTCCACGACGGGTGTGTGGCCATGCCCTGCGGCGTACATCATTGGCGTGTTCCCTTCCTGTGCACGCGTCACCAAAGACACCTCATGAGATTTGGAAGGACCACTGCGGTGGGTGAATTGGTAAACGAGACAATCCATTTAATTTGCTTTGCTGCAATCGGGTCCTCAAAAAATTGTATCTTGAGTTCGATGGAACTTGTTCACCATCGCGATTGCTACTGCGATTTGAATTATACATCTTATGTTGTCTGCCGCAAACTTATTGTTACAATTGATTATGCTTCTTTTGTTTCTTCAATTTTGTCACCTTTTTGGTTTTGGTTTTGCTGGTGCCATTATCATTATCATTATTGACCTGCACAAACATGCCACTGCAGAAACTTTTTCTGCTAGTTCTTTCATTACTGATTCTGGCACAGTTCTCATCGTTGTTGTTACGTTTCAGCTCTCATTGCTATACTCAGAAGTTTTCACAGTCCTGAAATGTTTTCTTTGCAACTAATGTGGTCGATGGTCTGGTAATGGCCTATAAAATTACTTCCACATAGCATTAGCACATTTGATGCAGCTTATGCGGGGCGCCCAGTGCACACCGGTGCGCAGATACCTGCGCATTCAATTATGCGCATTTACAAAGCATTGAATTTTAATGTGTGCCCCCAGAATCAGACATGTTTACAAAAAGGTATCTGCACCAGGCGTACCGATGCGGTGCTGCATTGGCAGAATTACCACCGCACATATGTCCTTTGCTTCTGATGGCATCTGTTTGCGCCACGTAAACACTATCGCACGTAAAACATAAAGGCCTTTTGTGTTCATCATTTATCCATTAAAACATAAAGGTGATGGGTTAAGGTCACGCCCGCATCTTGTGTTCAGCATTTATCCGTCTAGTCGTGATAGCTTCCCTTCGACCAACACGACTGCGGCCCAGAATCGATAAGCGCTATTTGCTGCAGCCTCGTTCGCTGATTCAGCGCAAAGGTGAACTACCCGAGCTTCTTTGGAAAACCTCAATAACAGCACATCACGACTAGCAAAGGGTCTGTCGAATCAAAAGTGTTCATTATTCGCATGTCAAATTATTGTGGCGGTATGGCGTTCGTCGCACACGGGAAAGCGCAGCTCAGAACAAAGCTGCTCAACACCCAAGTTTGTGAGCGGCGGACACAGCAGCATAACCACATGTGTCTGTACAGACACTTGCTCTTGCGTGACTATTTGGACGAGCGTTTCTTGCTGCATGGGTGTGGTTGCACCAGTAGAAAACAGCCTGTTTGCGATGCCAACTGCGATGCCATTTGTCACAAATTGATGCCATCGCAATCGCTGTGACGGCATCAATTTGCGTCAAAATGGCATCGAATCTGGCATCGCAAACAGGCTGTTTTCTACCGGTGTTGCATGTGCAGCCATGCACAACCGCGTCAACGCATGCTAGCAATTTCTCTGCTCGCCGCTTCATCTATTAGGCCCACCGACGCGTCCACCTTGCCCTCGCAAAGGACGAGAGCGCCGTCGAGCAAGAGGGTTGACAGAATCAGACGATGCGGATGCTCCAGCTTTGAGACGGAGATTTGGGAGCACGTTGTCTAAAACACGTTGACTGTTGGTGCAGAGCAGCGAAGACACGTGCTATTGTAGACTCAGGGAAGGATAGAACGTGGATTAGTGCTTCTGTAACTTTAGCAGCTTGACCTGGCTGTGATTCAAGTTTTCAATTCCTATCTGCACAATTTTCTTTCCAGATCGATACACGGTTCCCTATGAAGCACCTTGTTTCTGGCAGATATGTTGGCACCCTTTTCAAGGAGGAGCTTCACCACCGGCATGTGTCCATTATATGCTGCATTGTGGAGAGCAGTATCGCCATCCTGTAGAAACAAAGCAACCAAATTATCTTTATTCCAAGAAGCGTAACAAAGTGGAAGGGACTACTGGATGGAATTCTCCATTGCACATATCAAGGGTTCTTAGCTCTGAAATTTTACATTTATGCATTTGTCGACTGCATATCCACTCAACTGAATGGGTCGACTGACAACTCGGACGGGCCAACTGACTCCTAAATCCATGCAATGCTGAAGAGGCGGAAAGCGACGAACACATTCAGACGATGATCGTGATCAGGAAAGCAGGCAGAACAATGCGTTTTGGGATGCACTGTGGAGACTTTGATTAACATCGCGGATATTCCGCCACGGAACCTTTCCAATCACATCCCCGCAATCTCGAAATTAGTGACATCACTGGCCATGAGAGCCTGCACGACTACCGCATGTGTGTAGTCGAGTAGCGCTGTCCATTTACTGATATATAGACTCGCCTGTGCCATCGCAGTACTCCAAAGAGCGCGCTGGTAAATTCACGGGTGGATGCACTCGAATACGAGCGTGTCACGTGGTTCAAAATCGAGCAACAAAGCCAATCCGCAAGGATTGACAGCACCAACAACGCATGACACAAGTAAATACACCACTGGATGTGCTCCAGAGTCTGTTTGCATTCGGCAGACATGTTTTCGAGCAATTTCGCCGGCCTTTTGTTTGCCCGGTCCAGTACCACACTGAAGCGCGTGAGCCTGGTACAAATACAGTTTAAATCGAAAAGACAAGCACACCATTAATATTTACGCAGACATTCAATATGAGATGCATTTGTTATATTACGGTGTTCACATTAGCATGTGTGTACCCAGAGCCTGTTTATATCAACGGCAATGCTTTCAAACAGTATCCCTTCACCACGTCCACCAGGTCCACTGCCGCGCCGGAGTCCAGCAGTTGTTGCACGACGTGTGTGTGGCCATTCAAAGGGGCCAACATCAGCGCCGTCCGTCCCCACTGCGGAAACACCACCAAAAAGTGCGTGCCTGGGTATCTGGAAGCAGTATCGCAGCAGATGCATTGCTAAGCCCGACAACGTTGAAGTATATTGTTCTACCGTACACGGGTGCTCCGAACAACAGTATCTTGATAAGCATTACGGTCATTTACTATTACGACGAATATCATCATTTCCACTATTGACTCTCAACTATCGCTAGAGCTTTTTTCGTCTATGCGAATTTTTACATCGACATCTGTAACAGCCACTCCTATTATTATCGCGGACTAGCGCTTATATTCTTGCTACTATTTCGTCAACTCTGTTCCAGCGATACTGCGTCTGTAGCTGTGATTGTTGTTTCATAATGCGACTGCATATACTGTTGCTGCTTTGCAGCTGTGATCGCTGTTTTACAATGCGCAAACACCATTTCCATTCTTAGCAACGCCTGCAGCACTGCGTTGTTTGTTATATTTTTTTTGCTATTTCCGTGATCGTTATTGTCATTCTCGTTCTGATTGGTGAACGCTATAGGATTGTGTATTGCTGTACACGTGCTATGCATTATTTTTACATTTGTGCATTCTAACAAAAGCATTTAATAAGCACTGAAATCCATGTAAATCAAACATGTCTATGAAACAACCGCTTCCAGGAGTGCCAACCAAGTGCTGCATTGGCATAAAAATCTTCAGTGTATCTGTCCAGTACTTTGTCGCGAGTAGCCCTACTTTCAGTCTCCGATTTCTGTCTTTGCGCCTTCAAGGCCCGTAGCTTATGACGCATCAAGTGTATGTATTGCAATAGCCGCATCTGTGTTTATGCATGTCACTTGTCCACTCGTGGCAGCATGTTTCCTCACAACGAGATGCATCCCGGAAATAATTACCACGATCAAATGAAAACTCCTTCTCTGATTCAACGCAATATTCATCTACTCGAGCTTTGTTTCCGAAATGCAGAAATTGAGCATTTCAAGCACAAAAGTGCAAATGCAATGGCGTTGAAATAAGTGGTCATTGCAAATCACTTTTCAGAATACCCAATTTTCAAATATGGGACAATCGTTTCGGGACGGACGAATTGTGAACTTGCATATTCTGTACACTTCTTCAACATTCGTGCAGATAACACTCTAGTTACATTGGGATATTTATTCTGACACGTTTATTCCCAGAGTCTGCCTGCGGTTTTCTCAACCAGCAATGTTCTCAAACAGTTTCCTCCCACCTCGTCCACCAAGTCCACTGCCGCACCGGAGTCCAGCAGCCTCTGGACGACGGGTGCGTGGCCATTCTGGGCGGCCACTATCAGCGCCGTCGCCTCCCACTGCACATACGACACAATACAAAGAGCTTCTTTGGTGATCTGGAAGCGGCACTGGACTGGAAGCATTGTCTAAATCTTTCCCCAACATCTGCGCAATGAAATAGTACTACACACGGGTGCTTTAAAAAACACATCTCAATATTGATGGCGGTGTCCTACAATTATGATGGTCACAGAGATTTTAAGTAATATATAAGATGCCAGTATCGTGTGCACTACAACTTTATTGTGCATTTTTGTTATTGTCGTCTTGGTTTTCCCCATCAGTTTAATTGTCTTTGTTGTTTTCACAATTGCGTGTTCGGTATTGAATGACACATATAGTTGCTATCATTATCAACAAGTATTGAAGTATCGAAATACTTTCATTGTGGCTGTTGCTTCTGTTATTTACTTCAATGTCACTGTCTGCAGTAATACAGTAAAATATGATGTCTGCAATAATAAAGCAATGAAGTGTAATCATTCATTCTGTTGTTGCTATGCAACAGTTCTCGTTGCTTTGCCTATAAATGCCATTAGTATTGTACTGGTTTGGTTTTTTATTCACTGTTTCCTCTGTACGGTATGAAATGTCCGGCTTTGCTTGCGGGGCTACTTTCATGTCAACAAATTTCATATTGTAACTATAAAATCTGGCCGGGGCAGCATATATAAATTCATTGATTGCCTCCAGGTTTTATAGCCGACGAGTGAGTATTGCACCAACGGCAGTGCCTTTGTGCCTCATGACTGGATTGGGCTATTTGAAAACTCTCTGCATCTAATGGACGCGCCGAAAAAGTGTGCTCACAGTGGTCTCGTTTTGTGCGGACCCCAATGTACAGGAAGGTTAAGAATTCCAATGCAACTCGGGCTGTACGTGGCGGCGACAGTTTTGAGCCTACAGGGCTGCCAACATCAAACTGCATCCGGCCGCCAATGCGACGGACAGAAAGGCGACAGGGCAATATGCGGCCGCATTTCGGAGTGTTGTGAAATTGACTGGACCACCACATTTGGTTGAGGCAAACGTGTTTTCTGATTTTGTTGAACATATTTTCCCGACTGGACAATTGTGGCAATCGGCTTCACAATTCACGATGCAATATACTTTTCAAATCTGGACATTTTAGTACGGACAAAGGAAGCATCATTGGGGATCCCTAGCACTAGCACCATTTCTCCTTATACCTTACGGACTTGTGTAGCACTGCATAACTGTGATGCATTATTTGCTGTATCTGCATTTTCAAATGTACGTATTTGCTGTATACTGAAGTATCGTTGTGCATCGCCTAAAGCGATATGTTTGATATTTATTATGTGAACATATTGCTTTAAACACTATAATATTTTAAGGATTGGCAACAGGTGCCCCAATACACTTTTGAATGACATTCATACTGTCAGTGCATTTCCCGTAACTTTGTTGTCTGTGTGCAGCGGCTGACTGCCATCATGCACATTATGTCATCATGCATCACATTTGGTCAGCGACTCCTATAATCGAGTCCATCGTCCATCTACTCGCTTGCGACAACACACTCCACTGACACTGTTGGCTGCTGCTATCTGATTTGGCGCGACAATTAATCATTCCTTGCAAAGCTACAAGCTGCCTATTGCAATGAGCAAAGATACCCTTGAGTCGAAGTGCTGATTATTTGCATGCCAAGACGCTCGGGTTTTGGCGTACAGAGTAAGAAAACAATCACATGTGATGTCGCAGTCACCACAGACGACGGCCAACAAGCAAAGGCAAGCTCGCTCGTGTTTTGGGTCCTTGAAGACCAAAATCACAGACATTCGTGGATAGCAAACCGTGTGCAACAGACCCTGAACAATTCATCCAGAAAGGGCTCCAAATTCGACCGAATTATTCGATTCAGCAACTTTTCTTTGCAGGGGTGCCCGAACACTTCCAGCCAAAAATTCATAACGCAGTGCATTATATCACGATATAAATAGTGGAATATATGGGTGAACTTCTTAAACTGCAATGTCTTCGAATATGTTTCTCTCACTTCCGTCACTGGGTCCACTGTTGCGCCAAAGTCCAGCAGCGTTGACACGACGGATCCATGGCCGTTCCAGGCAGCGTATATAAGCGCCGTCCATCCATCCTGTACATGTGCCACAAGAAAGAACGTCTCTCTCGGAATTTGGAGGAAGCTGTGCTGTGATCAAAGCATGGATCGACTCGATGGAATGCAAGCATATTTATCATCACTGCGATCCCGTTGAAATTGTCATTATACACATCTATTGCTAGTTTTCTGATCAGTGCATTCTGAAAGCTGTTGTGATTACAGACGTTGTTGGCATTGTTTCTGTCCCGATCATGACAATTCTCTATTACGTCACCTGTGAAGATTACGTATTGATACAATGCTATGGCTTCATTACCATTGATTCAATGCGAGACACTGTTTCAGCAATGCCCATGTGTCAATACTCAGAAGCTGTGATGGTGCGCCAACACTGTGTTAGTGTTCATGCGCTCACACTGCTGCAGCGTTACTCGGCGTTGGATCAAAAATGCTGTATACGTAACGCTGCATGGATCTCTGCCACTTTTAGAGCTGACTGCAAATCTTTTCCAACACATGCTATCAATACTATTGCTGTGCACGTGTGGCTGTTGCTATCATTATCGCCACGTTTTGATTTGTCGTTGTCACCCTCAATACTGGTACTCATGTGACTGAAATATGTACGGGTGGCCCAGATAAACTGCACAATGCTGTGTATCCGCATCGATACCATATTGTGCCGACATTATTTTGCAGCAGCAGCAGCAGCGACAGCAGCAGCAGCAGCAGCAGCAGCAGCAGCAGCAGCAGCAGCAGCAGCAGCAGCAGCAGCAGCAGCAGCAGCAGCAGCAGCAGCAGCAGCAGCAGCAAAAAGAAAATGACATGTATGACAGAGACAGGTAGAAACCTTCGCAGTTCGTGGATGCAGCTCGTCGACCAATGCAAGCCAATAATGTCATGCACTGGCAGGGCTTGCCACTGCTATGTAATCAACTCGTGTGGTCACAGTGCTCCCCAGTTGGATGAAGCCAAACATGGCATCTGTTGTCCTAACATAAAGCAGGCACTGCTGGCACTTTCAGTGACGCCATCTCCTGCCCCTGTGACCACCTCAAGTTCGTTGAACTAGCGTTTACCAGCATGAGCGGCCTATGTCATCGCTCAGTGGTGACGACAATGCAAATGCATGCCTGGCAAGACGTGTCCCGCAAAAAAAAACTCTGGGCAGCAATGTTAACAAAACTCTTGACAGGTTGGACGCGTGCTTATCTGTTGACTAAGTTCTTTAGGAATTTGGGGAAAACGGGGTGGGGCAAATGGGAATAAGCTCAATGCAACAATACCCGGAATAGAGGGCATGCATAGGACGCATTTTTGACAAGGCCGTGAATGTTGTGTCTCACTGTTATGAACAATGCAGCCAAGAGCCATATCAACCCCAAACCGACCAAACAATCCAATCATGATGACGGATTGACTGAATTACTTGATACAAGCTATAGCAGCCGTTGGAGATGCTACATCCCTTTTGGCGCAGAGATAACAGAATTCACCTATAGTTTCACCTCTATTTTGACGTTTTATGTTGAGACACACGAATTCAGACCCTATCTGTGTCCAACGCAATTCACTCGAGCAACTTATTCCCACCTCATCCACAAGGTCCACCATGGCACTGGAGTTCAATATCTTCCGCACGATGAGTGTGTGACCGTTTTGGGAGGCCGCCATCAGCGCCGTCACTCCCCACTGCACAGGCGTCACAGAAAAGGAGCGTCTCTTGAGATCTGCAAGCGGTGCTGCTGTGGATGCTCTGTGGATTTCGACAAAATCGCACAATAGAAGTGCATTACATTCGGTGCTTCAACAACCGTGTCTTGACTGAGATGGCATGCCACAGTGCAGGCGTAATTATTTCATTACAGTGATTACTATGATTTTACCTATATTGCAAGCGAGTTTCGGGCAGTTGTCTTTGATTGGATAGTTGCGTTTTTGTCATCTTTTGTACGTTGAATCGTTTTTTAATGATTGTCTGTTATAGGTGTGCAGTTATCGCTTTTTTGCTAACATATACTTCCTCCTCCCAGAAATAAATGAAAGAAGATGTTGAGAGGCAGCTATTCTGCCAGTACATCTTAGTTTTCTTGAATGTCAGCAGAAGGCGCATATTACATATTCTCTGAAAGAATTCTCTGAAATAACAACATTCAGGCATGCGGGAGTATTTATGACACTGAACGACTATGGCTCACAATTTGAACAATGGCAGCCTATCGCTGTCTCCACCAATCGTTGGTGGCCGATATCCAAGAAGGCCTAACAGGTAAGGAACAACACTTGCAATGGAATTTCGAGGTACCGAAAGAGCAGGGAGCCTGTGTTGCTCGGGCTCTATCCCAAATATCCACACCGCTTGCGATGCACAACCAGCAAACGTTGTGCCCTATTTTGGAGCTATTTATCAGCGATTGCTGGAAGCCCCCACCACCATCCACTGCAATGTACCAACACATTTGGGACCACCATTGCCAATAGGTCACCTAATGTCATAAGGCTAGCTGTGAATCATCTATGTGAGTTAACAGCCTGTGCTTGGCTAAGGTCTTTATCAATATAGCCAGCCTGGTTTAAGCAGTACTCCACTCACAAGGCTTCCCATTAATGAATTCTGTAAATTAATGCATTCGAAAATCTCAGTGTTACTTCAAGTGAGCGAATATGTACGTCGGAACGACTGTGGCCACCACCGCATCCACTTGAGAGACTACAATGCCAAAAAAAGTTGTGCTTCATATGCCGCTGAGCTGTGGTCAACCAGCTTGAAAGCCATCAGCTATAATATCCGCTTGCAATTGATTTACGTTGGCAAGAATACGGCAACAGGTGACAAGATACTACAGTAGCGTTCCAAACTGCTCTAGCTACTCTGTCCATGAGCTGCCAATCTGGATCTTCCAGATTGCTGCATTATGTCATTTCTATCAGCTTTATCAACGTATACAAATGGAGAGTAAAAATTTAGATGTGTCACCATAGGTGACTCACAAAGCTCTTGAAATCAACATCCACTCCATTGTCCAGCATCGTTTCGACTGCTGCAAGGTTGCCCTCTCTGGCTGCCTCTAACAGCTGGATGCCACTCTAAATCAGTCCAAAAAACCAAAATGTCAGTCAACCATAGCCAACAAGCAACGCATCTTGTATTGCTCCAGAACAGCACAATACACAAATAAGCCAACAGAGTGATTTTTTTTCTTACACCTGGCTGCTGGTCCTGTTAGTGGAAGGGCGTAGCCCAGCCATGGCACTTCTTCCATCACTGCCTTTACTCTATATCTGCACTACTTTAGACAAGTCTCTGTGTCCCACATTGCCGGCAGTGCAGCAGTATCAACATTGGTGCAGGTGCAAAATACTAGGCTGGAATGCAGTCCTAACATTTGCTGGGCCCTGGACAGGAAACAGGCCACGCAGTACACTGGACATCACATCCGCAGCAGCAGCAATTGCGACTATCCAATGTCCATTACACATAACATGTCCTTGGCATGTGTTTGAATACAGCAACCCACCGATGCGGGCCCAGCCCTAGGAGCTCTTCCATTGTCTGCAGTATCTGCTTTCTGCCCCACAGAGTGTGCAACGGACTCATCTATAGCTGCAGCACCCCAGCCATGCTTTGACCTGGGAGTGGCAACAGCAATGTCAGCACTTGTGCCAATTATCGTATGGTGCAGAAAGCAGAATTCATGGAATTTGCACACCAGGGATAGGTTGCATATTACAACACTAAAATTGAAAGTATGCTGGCAACTTGCCTTCTGTTGGATGCAGTAGTCCTTGATGTGCCAAGCAAGCTCTCCTTGGTCGCACTGCCCATGGGAGGAGATGGTGGCTTTGTTGCATCCACAAAGACGGCCATCAGCAATAGAGAATCCAGACATGCGTGAACTTGGACATTGATTAATGCACATGTTGCAGACGTTATCACCAGCAGGAAACAGCCTGTTTGCGATGCCAATTGCGATGCCATTTGACACAAATTGATGCCATCACAGCCACTTTT